TCTCCGGTCTTCAATCCACGTTCGTCCCTATATTTGACATCGTGGAATCCAGTCAAAGCTCCTACAAACTTGCTGCGAGATGTTGTAGATGAAGAGCAACCATTCCGTTAGTGCAACCCGGTTGTAGCAATCATAATATGGCAACCTAATTGATAAAACAACCTTACCTGCTAAACTTCCAGAGTTTCGGATCAATAGTGGCGACAATATCAAGGACGATCCCTTGATTCTTCGCGCTATCTTCGAGTGGACCCGGCGAGTCCTGTTCTTTCCATGCTGTCGTGACGGCGGCTTGGAGTGATCGACTGATATCAATTGGAACTGCAAATGCGTACATTTAGTCCGTGTGCCGCATTGCTTCCCACCGACACTCGATGCTACGGGCTCTCAAATAAAGATCTTCAAGCTGAACTGGATACTTGGCAAGTGTATCCATGACGAATTTCAAGTTTTCCGTGTTCCTTGCCCAACGTACAAAGCGATCAAGAGTCACAGTAAGCCCAGCTGGGTATTTGTGAATAGCTAGACGGGGTTGACCGGATGTCAACGTAGTTTGGCGGAGCTGCTTCGTCGTCACCCTGGAATTACCGCGACGTTTCGGCCGAGGAAGGCTTATGATATCAACAGCACGGCTTGCAATTGTTGGTACTTCTGGATCTGGCGGCGACATATTAGAAGTATCATTGACGCGTTCTGGGTTTGCACTGTCCCGTTCAGACTCAGATGCTTCATACTCCGATGCACCTTCACTATCCGTGCAGGCTTCTGGAGAGGGCGAAGCGAATTCTAGCTCGTCCATAAGTTTCGCTGTTTCCATTGCCTCAAGTGGGTCAAGCAGAGGAGAAATCGTCTTGATCGTCATCGTCTTCGTTACTACTACCGTCATCGCGATTACCATTGACTTCGCGGTTGAGACCAATCTCCACCGTGTCCTTCCAGGCAGAGAGTTCTTGATAGAAATCAGCGCTTGATAGACACGATAAATGTTCCAGCAGAGGCTCTAACACTGCTTTTGCGTATGAATACTTTTCCGATGACGACAAAACCACCTGGTTGGCACGCTCCTTCCTGTGAAGGCGAACGTAGGCAATCTCTTTGGGTATCTTAGAAGCTGCGAGTTTTACTTCCGTGATCCTCACTGGGTTCATGACGGCAGTGTTCAAATCGCTCAGTGAGCAGTGGTCTGTCCCTGCAACTCAGCTGCATTACGAGTACTTTGGCCCCACTCAGGACATCAGTGCTGGCAGCTCAACGCAGAGTCCGCCGCCCGCTTGTCCTTTCGCCACCGACTACCACACACGTCTGATGGCCAACCCCAGCAAGCAGTCTCGAACTGGCTTGGTGGTTGCTGCAGCAGTTGCAGCGTCTGCCGTGGTTCTTACGACGCTCTTGCGATCGACAAAGTAAGCGACACATTGAGCTGTCTAGGTAGAGCGATTCAACTTGAATCATTCGAGTAGAAACAATAAAATAAGAAGCCGGCTTGTCTGTTTAAAACACCAATTATGTTTCTCACACCATTTCCATTCGAATAGGATGGCGAAGCGGAACCGCTGGGACTCAGACTCGGACTCCGGCGATGATCGCGTCTCACAGCGTAAGAAGAAGACTTCCAGCTGCATTGATCTTATGCCCAACTCCACCGATACGCCGTCTTCAAGTTGCGACACCCCCGACGCTTCTAAACTCCCTACAGCCGACACAATCGCTATTCCAGACGACCCATCGAGACACAATTTCTACCTTTTGGGCTGCCGTAGTGTCGACTGCTACGCACGTATCGGCAAAATCGATGAGGGCACGTACGGCGTCGTTTCCAAGGCGCGGGACAAGGAAACAGGGGATATAGTAGCCCTTAAACAGGTCAAGATGAGTGCAGACGTCAGCCAGGAAGGCTTCCCCATCACGGCTCTACGCGAAACCAACGTGCTGTTGGCTCTGGATCACCCCAACATCGTTCAAGTGCGAGAAATGGTAGTGGGGTCCACGCCCGACAAGATCTACATGGTCATGGACTACGCTGAGAACGACCTTAAGCACGTCATGCAGACTAAAATGAAAGCTCCATGGCTGCAGTCCGAGGTTAAATACTTACTGCACTCGTTGCTGAGCGCTGTGTCTTTTATGCACGACCGCTGGTACATCCACCGAGATCTTAAGACCAGCAACTTGCTGTACGATGCACACGGCGTGCTGAAGATCTGCGATTTCGGTCTCGCGCGCAAGTATGGCTCACCATTGAGAATCTACACACAGCTCGTGGTGACGCTATGGTATCGCTCACCGGAATTGTTACTTGGCGCGAAAATCTACTCAACGGCAGTCGATATGTGGTCGGTTGGCTGTATTTTCGCCGAGATGTTGCTGATGAAGTCACTGTTTGCTGGACGGGGAGAGCTCGACCAGACTGACCAGATCTTTAAGCTGTTGGGGGCACCGAATGAGGAGAACTGGCCAGGTGTCGACGAGGACGTGCCAGACGCAAGTGTGAGTGTGCGCGGTAAATGGCCGAAGTACTCTCGACTGCGAGGCAAGTTCCCACTGGCTGCTACGTTCTCGGGTAGCGGGTGTTCTTTATCTAAGGCAGGGTTTGACCTGTTGGGTCGGATGCTGGCTCTCAGCCCACGTAAGCGTATTTCGGCCAAGGACGCACTGGCGCATGAGTACTTCCAGGAATCTCCTCCTCCCAAGCAGCAGGAATTGATGCCGACATTCCCTGCATAGAAAAAGAAATGGCAGCTACGTTGACTTCGCTCGCGATACGTGTTCGTTACTCTTTCTTACTCACAGTCGGCCATTTTGACGTATTTCTCTACGCAGAACTATCACACTTGTCCACATGCAGCACCACATCCATCACTGAGGTAGTCTAGATATGCTTGGTCTTCGAATCGGCTTGGCAAGAATGCGTCCACGTGGTTAGCAAGGCCACATCTCTCCAGTTTCTCGCCCATGACGTGAGTAGCAAGTAAGTGCCCCGACGCAGCGCTAGACATGAGGCCGACACCAGTCATAGCGGACTGTAGAAACACGCCACCAATCGTGCTTGGTGCTGGTCCGATGAGTGGCAGGTTGTCCAGTGTCTTGCAGTAGTAGCCGCCACTAACGTAGAAAGAGTCGCGTACTTCAGACCGCTTCAGATACGACTTTACTTGAGGGAACATCCTGGTAAGGCCACGAACGCAGACTTCGGGAAATCTAGAGCATTACGAACGGAAGAGTCAGCTACTAGTTTGTACTCCCACAACTAAGTACCCTACCTTCTGTCCAATACGTCTTCAACAGGGTAGTGCGCCGGTACAGACTCGATATCGTACGTCCAAACAGCCATCATTTTATCCCTATTGTATGGACGCACATGAACTCCTCCTGGGTATTCTTCCAGCATCCGAGCGGCCGATGGGTCTGCCATAATTTCTCTACGATCTTCTTCCGACATCTGCAACAGAACAAAGTCACGTGGGCTTCTTACATGGGATCTTCTATTATTTTTCTTTCACGACGCACCTCGAGCTTTCCCATCGGATCCGAATCAAATGTCAGCGGCATCGTAGGCGGCAAGACACGATCCACATCGTCGACAATAGCACGACAGTGAAGTTCATTGATAATGGGCACGTCGTAGCTAGACATATTGCGCTGCTTTAACATGTGTAGCGTGTTTTCGAACAGCGGCCCCGTTGCGAACACCACGTTAGGAGTCGCTACTTCTTACGTTTCTCCATTATTCATCGCGACTCTGACGCCACTCACATTGCCACCAGTAGCTGAAAAGTCCGTGACCTTGCCCTGGAGCACCTCCGCTTTCGGACAGTACTCAACTGCTTTATTGAGTTCATAGTTGGCCACCTTTACAGGGTTTAGCGATCCACAGCGTCGCACATGCAGTGCAGCCAAAGAATTTGAATCCTTGAGATTAGGGAAGACAGCTGCAACAGTATCCATGCCAATTAGCAAGTCACTGCCGTCCAGATCTCCTCGGTTGAGAGCCGGTAGCCACTGAGCCTGTCGTTTGGCTCGTGAACACGCAACTCTCCACCTCCATGACGCTCCAGGTTCTTTGCTAGCCGCTAAAGCTCCTCCATCTTTCCGGCATCCCGAGTCACAAACAGATATCCGTTGCGATTCAAGCCCAGAGCGTTGTTCGTCTGCTTGCAGATGTCGTCCATCTCGTCGATCGAGCGTACCACAAGCTCCCTCATGGGCGTCTCAGCATCACTTGGGAACCAGTTGCGGTAGCTAAAAGAACCGTTCGCACTGGTTAGTGACAATGGAGGCAGAGCATCCACTAGCAGCGGCTTGAAACCAGGATTACGACCATTTAAGCGAGCTAAGTGGTAGAATGCCGAACAGCCTGCCACCCCTGCTCCAACCACCACAACGTCCGCAGAGGCCTTTCGCAACATGTTTTAGCTCCAAGCTCTTCCTCCGACGGCAAATCGCCAACTGACCGACGTGATGAGCGTGAAAGGCTGCACAGGAGATCTCCATTGTGGTGGTGCACTTCAAGGAGAGCGTCTTCCAATCAGCAAACTCATCCCATCCAAATGCACGTCCGACTCAGACCCCCGCCACGCTTTGGTCGACACCAACGGCGTAATCTCCATGACAACACTTTCGTCACTTGTGAATACATTATTGGATTAATGCAAAGATGTAAAAGTAAGCACGTTCCGATATAAAAAAATGGCAAAAGGATAGTAGTTTTGTGTTTTGTGCATCGTGGATACGGCGTAGCGTATAAGCTTCAGCACCAACTGACGGCGTCACCCGTTAATTCACTGACTTACAGCTTGCTGGCCGCGTCGACGGTGTGGCTCTTGGCGAACTCGAGGCCCTTAGTCACGCTGTCCTGCGGCGAGATGTTATGCTCGATCTGGCCGACCTTGCCGCCCGGAAGCACGATCACGTGCGAGCGCTCCACACGCGTCCCATCGTTGATGGAGCTGCCGAAGTAGCCAATGAGATGATGCTTCGGGTCCGATAGGAACGTGCACTTGTACTTTTGCGACTCCTTCCACGCCAGAAGCTCGGTGGGGGTGTCGGCGCCCAGGCCGTAGACGTCGAATCCGGCGGCGTTGATCGCCTCCAGGTTGTCATTATAGCCACAAGCCTGGGTGGTGCAACCGGGCGTGTCCGCCTTCGGGTACATAAAGAAGATGGCGCCACGAGTCTTGAACAGATCTTGAACCTTCACCGTCGCCGAGGAGTCCGTCTGGAGCTCGACGTCGAAGGTCACGGTGTTGCCCTCCGCGAGCTTCTCAGAGTCCGTGGGCTCTTCTTCTTTGGTGGGTTCCTCCTGCTTGGGGGCCTCTGTTCCGCTGCTCTTCTTGACGAACTCGACGGCGCGGCTGACGCTGTCTGCAGGAGACACCTTGGCGGCGATCTCGCCCACGACGCCTCCCTTGAGGACGACGACGTGCGAGCGCTGCACCTTCTTGCCTGGCAGTGAGCTGCCGAAGTACGAAATAAGTTTGTGCTCCGGGTCGCTCAGTAGGTCGAATGGCAGACTCTGCTTGGTCTTCCAGTTGGCCAGTGACTTAGGCGAGTCGCCGCTCAGGCCGTAGACCGTGAAGCCAGCGTCCTTGATGGTCTGGATGTTGTCCCGGAAGCCTACAGACAGAGGAAACCGAAAACAAAGTGAGTCCGTTGACTGGTTTAACATTTTAAGCACGTCTCGAAGCCGAGGAATCTTTTCGTCGACTCACCACAGGCCTGTTTGGTGCAGCCGGGAGTGTTGGCGCGAGGGTACATGAAGAAAACGACTCCCTGGTCGCGGAACGTGTCGGCGATCACGACCTCCTTCTCTTCCTGGTTGACAAGCGTCACGTTCACAGTCACGGGCTTGCCCACGGCCAGATCGCTGGCGGCTGCCTTGGGAGTCGAAGACTTTTTGGTGGGGCGTTTGGACGCGTCCGCGGTAGCCGAGCGCTTCTGCGGAAGCTCAGCGGCGGATGACGAGCCCGAGTTAGTGCGGCTGCGAGTAGAAACCATTGGGGTTTGAGTAGCTTGGGGGAACTTGAACGAGGACTTGATGTGCGCAAGGCGTAGCTCCGGATCGCCCCAAGGTTTGATCGAGGTTGCAGGAAGGTGGATATGTTGACCCAAGCTTCAGCTTGTGTGGGTATCAAAAACAGCTACCGGTATGATATAAGCTTCATAAAATGATCTATCCAGTACCTATAGGTACTATTATTAATAATACCTATTTATACCTTTCCAAAATCGGTAAAGTTAAAATAGTGAAAATATCTCCTGGAAGACCGGCTAATATAAAAATTGTACCTAATTTTTTAATCTTGGACAAAATGGTATTATTAAATGTCTACTTAAGATTACTTAAACCCATTATTTAATTTTATAAAATTTTGTAAAAGGTATTAATCCGCTAATCATTGATGTATGTCGTTAAAGTTTGACTAGCTGATATATAACTAATTACCAGTGGAGTTTATATTACAGCCAGAGGCTAATGGTAACCAAATATCAAATGCTCTTTTTGATCATAATAATACTACTATCAAAATAAAATATTAGTAGTAGCTCAAAATTTTAAAAGCAAACCACTATCAAAATATTAGCTTTGAGATTTGAAAAATATTAGAAACGTTATGAAATTTATGATATGTTGCCATTTAAGTACGTTTCTTGCCACCTTACCCTCTGCTGAGTGAACAGAGGGCTCACAAAAGAACTCTTTCAGTCAGTATTCTTGAACAGCACTAGGCTTAAAGACTGATGAGTAATTGCTCTAGTATTTCACTTTGACACAGACAAAGGCGATCGAGATGGAAAACTGCAAACGCTTGCAGCTGTTTAAAGTCGATAGAGCGAAATCAAGGTATTTATTCTTGTTCTCTACCGATAGCCTCGTCCACATCGTGAGTCTAAAAAAATTGCAGCCTGTGACGCTAGATTATTAATAGTGCGCTCTGCAGTGCCAATTCACGACGAAGCGTGAGCAGCACCACAAATGTCTGAAAAACACATCAAGTACAGGTTTTCACAGCAAACATACGGAGAGCACACAATAATGTGGAAGAACACAAAACACATTTGGAAAACACAATGCTTTGAGAAAATTCACGCAAAACTACATGGCGTGCACAATATTAACATCTCTGCCAACACCACTCAATCACTTCAGCTTTCACCCTCAAACAGAAGCCCCCCCCCTCTCCCCAGGCCCGACACCATGCCACGCACCCACGACTGGAACTTACTCGCCTGTGACTTGACCGAAGCCGATGCTGACATGCTGCTGCAGAGTATGAAGGCGTTCACAGCAGCGAAGAGCCAGCTGATGCCGTGCACCTTGTGTGCGTCTTCTACTCCCCACTCAATGCGCTACAAGCTCCTGTCGTGCGAATGCGCGCAGTGTAAGGCTGTGGCGCCGTTTGCAAAGTGTCAATGGCGTGGAAAGAAGGTTACTTGTTTAGCGTTGAACGCGGTAACGCTCTTTGAGCTCGGCGAACATTTTTCACCGGCGAATCCACGCCAGAAGCCGAAAGTCACACGTTTGCAAAAGGCATACATCCAAGAGCTAACCAGAGAAAACCTTACCCCTCTCCGTATCTTGCATGCCATGACACGGAAGCTTGGGAAGCCTCTACAAGAGCTGCCAGAGCTACGCAAAGTTCAAAATGCTGTGAACCACTACCGCCGCACAGAATTAGGTGGAAGTGACCGCTACGGAGAGCTTCATCACGTGTAGCCGCCGCAGCGTACAGCGGCCGCGAGGCGGAGCATGATGCTTTCACGTTTACCGCTAGAACAGACGGGTTCGGCAAGCCCGTTGTTGGTGATGGATCTGACACCCACCCTTTTGTTGTGGGTGTGACGACAAAGTCACTGTTGCGCTCTGCTGACCGAGATCCGGCCTCATTCGTTCTCCACATCGACGCGACGTTCCAGCTAGCGCAGACTAGCTACCCTGTGATTGTATGCGGCATGTCTGATGGCGCAAGACAGTTCCACTTAATGGCTCTCTTTATTACATCGCAGCTGGAAGAACGTCACTACACGGATGCCTTGTCAGGACTGCAGACAATCTACACCAAAGTAGTTGGCAAGCGACTGAATGCTCAGTATATTATGGGCGACGCAGACAAAGCCCAATTTAACGGTATTAAGACCGTTTTTGGTGCTGCTGGTGAGTACATATCTCTTATGTGCTATTAGCATGTCGTAGCTAAGGTTCGGCTTGCCCTAAAGGAGCGCACTAACAGACTGCATGGGGATCTGGCTGCTGAAGTGTTTCGTGGGATTTATGATCTTCACTTTGCTGCAAATAAGGAAGATTTTTTGGCACGAAAAATGAAAGTCTTGGCGGATTGGAGAACGCATTCGGAGCTGGACACGTTTCGTGTGTACATGGAGAAGCAATGGCTGCGAGGAAACTTCTGTAAGTGGCAGGTTTTTTTTACACCACCAGGCTTCGCATCAACAAACAATCCGTGCGAAACCTTTGACCGAGCTTTCAAGCGTGACTACACGCAAAAGCGCAAGCTGAAGCTTGCCGTTTTGCTTCAACAGATGCAGTACTGTTGCAGTCATCGGTCCATGGCACCGACAGAGTTTGCGCCTAGACGTATATCGGACAAGCGCCTGGTTGCACGAACAACAGCACTTCGGCGTGGTGGTTATCTGGCGGAACACACGTTCAGCAGGAGCAGTATCAGTTTCCTGGTGGACAATGCGAGCAGTAACATCCTTCGTGTGCTTGCTACGCCTCCACAGCGCTTCTACATCCCGTCGCGAGGCCGATCTGAAGATGCGCTCAATGTTGCAGCTCAGTTCTCTGTGAACTACGCCAGGATGGAGATAGAGGAACAGCCGAGCACAGGATGGCCTGTCAAGTTGGATGCACTACATTGTCCATGTCGGTACCACTTCAAGATGAGAGACTGCGTGCATCTTCAATTTGCACTGCAGTGCCGCAATTACGTCGACGGAGAAGGCGAGCGTCTCATGGTAAATCGCAGCAGAAAACGAGGCTTGGATATTGAAGATCACCAAATTGTTGCACAAACTGGAGGACGTCCGAGGCATGCAGGTCATGCTCTGCAGTGCGAGTAAGAGACGCGCAGAAATACATACTTCTTGAGTCACCTAAACAATTTCCAACATCGTATCTGGCTACTGTATAGCAGTTTGTAGCTGCACATACTTGTGGACGCGTCACTAGCGTCACCAACTTGTCGTATATACTGCATAGTGGTTGCGGTCAGAAACCGGCAGTGCCGGCCCGGCACTACCGCTTGGTCGTGTCCTCAGTGCCGCATTCATGTAGCACCTGCGCCAGATAGTGGCAGCGAAATGGTGGCGTATTCTCCAGCATAACTCTAAGGCGTATCTCGCAGCAGCCACGACTCACCTATAGCATCTCACAGTATCTTCAATAGCGACAGCCTTTTAACCCGCACCAGCAGCATCCATAGTATTTCCAAGGCGGTAGCCGTACGCAGTGTCTTCTGTGATGCAACTACGCCGCTACCACCAGCGGTTTTGCATCTTTCATGTTAGCCCTCACGCTTGCGCCTTCAATTCCAGCGGAGCGGCAGTGGCTATGTCTTCATCGCAGCGCAGACGCCCCAGTGTTAATCAGCAGTAGCTTCGCCACCGGGTATCAATGGTGGCAGCCACTTACCCGGTGTACCGACTGCTCCACAGCATCCTCATATTACTACCAGCGCTGCAGACCAGCAGTAAGTGCACTAGCGGCACGGACCCCCGGCGTCTGCAGTGGTGCTAGCCACGCCTCCAGTGCTTTGGCCTTCCGCCACAGTCTCTCCGGAGCGACAGCTTCTTCGTGCCCAATTTTGCTCCGCCGTTTGGCAATTTGCAGGCCCAAGCCACCAATCACAAAGACAATTCTTGGAACGTTCCGTTTTGCATTTTGCAGTGCGGCTTGAGAGTCTCGAGTCGAGACAGACCATGGCCATTCCTTGTTCGTGTGCTAAAATGGATCTTACTGTGTTTGTCAGAATACTTACTGTGCTGAACATATTTTCTCTCAATTCACCACACGTCTCTCTCCCAATTGTCCCTCCATTTCCCTCACTGCTTATTAGTAATACTTCAGCTAGTCAAACTTTAACGACATATGATTGGTGAATTAAAAGCAATTGCGCAATCTTTGAAAATATAATATCGTTTTAGCAAATATTAAACAGATATTTAGTAATATCATTTTGCCCAAGAAGAAAATATTAGGTGATATTTTTAATATTAACTTCACCAATTTTAGTGTTTATTAACCCCTGTTTAGCAGTAACTATTATTAATATATCCAATCCAAAGCCTCTCCTTACTGATCACCACTACCTACAGTTGTGCCATTTTAAGATTCCTGTTGAGCTGGAGGTTCCGGATATTCACACTTGCATAGCTCAGTCAATACGAGTTCATTTTCCAAGGCACCCGTGACGCACAAACGAACGAGGACAGACGCGCGGTGGACGGCGCAGCAACCCCCGGCTGGACTTGACGTTGGCAAAAGTGGATGGCAAAGCTATTCAACCATAGGGATTCGATGGGATTTCCGCCAAGTGCCGTACGTGAGCTTCGAGTGATGCAAAAATGCTTTATAGGACAAACTCGTTAAGAAGCGAGGACGCACGCAACCAGCAAATGCCATGATTAACAAACTCTAAATAACGATATTTCTGGATTTTGTATCACTATTTGGTAAGTAGAGGATAGAGGTAAGTTTGACTTAATATTGTAAACCAATTGGGGACCCTTCTAGCACTGCTATTTAGAGGTCTCACTATACGTTATGGAGAGGATCATCTGTACCACAGCCCGGCGGATCAGACTTATGAAACTAGTCAGTTTTAAATCGCAGATACACAGGAATGTTATAAAATGTTCTGTTGGTAGACAAGCTTTACCGAGCGCATTTTGGCGGCTTCCCTTGGCCTCGCTCCCAACACGAGCGAATCCTCAGGCACCTCTGCCCAGGTCTTCAACTTGTCAGGCGATTTCGTAAAGTGGATATTGAAGGTCGTATATGAATTATAGTATCTCTCTCTCTCGAGGCAGTTGACGTCTTGAGATCGGTCGCTTGTGGTGTCACTCTACATGTAAGTGCTTTCTGGGCGAAGTTGCCAGTAAAATTAGTATTATTGTACAATGTCGTACGAGCGTGAACTGAGATAACTTAGTTCAAGAAAGTAAATTTATTTGAAGAACGATGGTCAGTCACCTCACAAGATATTTTCTGTACAGTGGGTGCCACCCTTTGTACAGCACCGAGGCGAAGATCTCAAATGCGATGTGTACCACAGATCACATCGCATTTGATAAACAAGAAGCCTGTTTGCGTTGGTGCCCAGCGTAAACAAAGTGGCTGCTGCAAGAAGGGTGGCAATGGGCCCCACACCAAAAGAGCGACATTAGCAGTTGAGCTTCCTCCAACAGCATCCTAGTCCGGAACAGCACCATGAAGCGATAGTTAATCCTGGTCGTATTCGCAAGTGTCTTTTCAGTGGCCACTGAAGACTCTTCAGAGACCAGAGTCATTAACCAGACAAAGAACCCGAAACTCTCCGATCATTCTGTCAACCAGTTTCTAAGAACCGCTAACGCGGACAACACTATTGCAACTGAAGAGAGGGCCATCCAATCGAGAGTTGCCGCTGCGTTGGGTGAGGGTATGAAGACCGGTGGGGCTGAAGAAGCAAGGACAGAAGCTGCAATTCAAGGCATGGGTCCTGGCGAGAAAAGATCCAGCCGACATACTAAAGAAATTCAAACTGAAGGGGGTGGATGCGGAAGTGGCTAGGCGCGACCCGAACTATCAAGTGTCCTGGACTACTCCAGATACTGGCTTAAGAAGGGCGGGCGATATATGGCGTAAGTCGGTGGAAAGCTTTCCGTAAAACCCAATATAAAACGACCGCTGTATTTCGAAAGACGTACTTGCATAATGGTATGCTTAGAAAACTGCTGACAGAATTTCTTACGGCTCGAATACACCAGGTTATTAAGAAGGTGGAACCGTCAGTTTTAGCATCTGGATCTATTGGCAGCGACGGTGTACGATATCTGAGGACGTTAATCCTCGTACATGTAGTGCTGAGTAGTAGTGACTTACCGTCAAAAATCGGCCCCAGTGCGATATCATTTTTTGGTCAAAGTCAAGTCAATTTTTGTTAAATCCTTAGCGAGGTTTAAATACCTCGCTAAGGGTTTTTAAATGAGACCTTTTGATGACATCCGTACTAAACAAGCGGTAGATCGTTCTTAGAGATCATCAGTCTCTGGAGGATGTGCCACCCTTAAAACTGGGAGCGACGAAGAGTTGGTATCGATTCAATACGAATTTCAAATGGGCAGGTATTATTTATACGGCACCCCTCTTGTCCAGGTTTTATCACTCAGGTATTGTCCAGGTAGAGTTTTTACGGTTTAAATTACTCTCATTTTCTTCTTTTGATTCCTAGCCACCAGTTAGAGAGACACGTGGCAGCCCCCCCCCCCACGCACCGAGGATGGCACGCACGCACAAGACTGCCCAGATCAAAGCGAAGGTGGCAGAGCAAGAGCGTGTGACCGAGGAAGCTCGTCAGGCTAACCTCGCTCTCTTGCGTGCGGCGCGTACGCGCTCAGAGAGAGCACACGCCAGAGAAATCATGGAGACATCTCGCCCTACTCCAACTGAAGTAGCAGAGGACAGCAATGCTCAAGAGCGAGTGGAGGAGGCAACAGAAGACGTCGCAGACGAAGAAGGAGATGGTGAGAAAGGGCAGGGAGGTGTGGACACGTCGAGTGAAGCAAAGAAGACTACGGGCGATGAAGAGGACGTTTCGGTGGAAGATGAAGAGGATGCAGAGGAGGAGAAGGTCGCTTCGGGCGAAGGGGAAGAGGGTGAAGTGGAAGAAGATGAAGTGGAGACGGAACCAACGAGAAAGCGTCGTCAAGGAAAGAAAAGAACCGTCTTCGATGTCGAAGAAGAAGAGCTGGTTCAGGTCCCTGTATTTAAGGCGCATCATGATTCGTGGGCCTCGCTGGAGCAGTCTCTCAAGGAATACATGGAGGCGACGCGCCAAAAAATCGTGGTGAAAGAGGTGATCAATGTAGCCCGCAGGAATGCTGATCTTCGGCGCCAAGTGAGGTACCAAGGGCTTCCTGACTCAGAGTTGCCTCTCGTCCCTGCAGAGATGGAACCTTATCAGCGCAAGTTTATCTGTACGCATGGGTGGTCCGAACGTGACAGATCAACGGGAAAGCGGACGTCACACAAGCTGAGTACTACCGATTGTCCGTTTCAGATGCTGGCTCAAGCTACCAAGCGTAGTGACGGTCAATGGGGCGTTGTGATGAAGCGTGAAGTGTACGCCCATAATCATCGTGTCTCCGAAGACATTTACAGGTCTTATCCAGGTATTCGCCAGGTTCCGGCGGACGCAGGCGGCGTTAGCACTAAAAGAGTACAATAACGGGATGCAACTACGCGCTCTTTTAAGAGATAACGACGTCTGCGATGTGGTGTCTACTCTATGGATGATCATGCCTGGAGTTCGCGAAGTTTGGTCTTTCCTTACTACCTTTCCAGTCAACAAGAATGGTGAGGGAAGGTCAATTCAGTGGCGCGTCGACGGGGATTACGTGCCAGATCGAGTGCGATTCAGGCTAGTCGAATCGCTTGTTGATGATGCGTCGGATAAGTTGAGGGGCGGATTGGCGCTAGATGAAGAAATTGAGTTGGACAGTGACGGTGAGCGAATGAGCAGCATTGAGAGTTACGTGGTGTCAATTGAAAAAGTTGGTCAGTTCACCAGAGAGCAACTGGAAGCTATGAAATCCTTGTGGGGGCTACAAGATACTTGTCGCAATGCTGTTCTTTGCTGTACCTGGTTAAATAGCACTGTTAAACCCGCGGTCAGTGACCCCGCTTCAGCGGGTATTATAATGGGAAAGATACTGGAGTGTTGGCCGTATACATCGCTGGTTGGGTTCGGATTCGACCTGACGTACAACAATCTCTTTTGCTTTCGAGATTCCGCTTGGCTAAACGATAATGCCATGCGTGCTTTTGCGGTTTGTCTCGCACGGTACAAGAACAATTGTACAGTCGTCATTCCGCCCCCCAAAAAAGCCAAAGATGCCAAGAATGGAACCCAACCAAAGGCCACCAAAAGTCGTATCTCTACAAGCACGCTCGACAAAGTTGGTGAAAGTGTTGCCTCGCACCAATTCGTGCTTCTTCCTATCAATTTTGGTGGCACGCATTGGGGATGCCTCGTGGTTGACCGAGATACCAAGGTTATCAAGATGTACGACAGCATGGGCGGTAAGAGAAACAAGAAACGGTTGCAGAAGATGGCTGAAGAAATCCGTACTGGGCCTCTACGTGACGATTCCTACGAAGCTTTGGAAGTAACCGAGCCGGTGCAAACGAACAGTGACAGTTGCGGTGTGTTTGTGTGCCGGTTTTTCTGGACTTGTGTGAGCAGCGAATCCCCCAGCGATGTGTCCCCAGCTGGTATTACGAAGCTGAGGTGGGAGATGCTGCACGCAGTCACGAAGCTGAGGCCGCGCTAGTTATTCGTGCATATCCGTCAGTGCAACATGCATGCAAACACTAACGATTTTAATACATGGTCAATTCTTGGGCAAAACCTGGACAATGGCTGTATGGTGCAGAAGTCGATAATGGTACATTCGTGGTACGCCACCATGAGCGTGAACGCCGACACACCGCAACGGCCATCACTCTAGAATTTTTCTAAGTAGCGCACACATGATTTACCCAGGTTTTAAAACCTGTAAAATACCTGGGTAAACGGTGAAGAAAACGATTGGTTGCGGTGAGTTCCGACGTCGACTGCCTACGATCATTTCCACTTTAGCCTAAGTCGTGCACACATGAGTATTTCAGGTTTTATACCTGGAAAATACCTGATTTGGTCATTTAAGTTCCCGAATGTAAATTACCAAATCTGATTCCGTTCTCTATAAGGAAAACCTGGGCGAAACCTGGCCCCCTAGCTGAACTATCCATGGAGAATCAGATTTCTGAGTATTTTTTCAATCTGGGAAACCTGGACGCTAAGGTCGTCCTTATTTATACATGTATACCAATTTGTAAAAGATAATATTTACAAATTCACAGGTTTCACTACGAGGAAAAGGTTTCGCAGATATAAACTTATACTAACTTGGTGTACTAAACAAAATATAATTCACATTCCTCGAGAACCTCCCGAGAAGAGGAATTACTGTTCGCCTTCTTTGCATTGGTCACACCGAACGTAAGTCTTGTGTTGTGTGTGCAGAGATACTAGGCTAATAGCACTAATCGAAACGTTGCTTCGCATTTTGAAATAGAATTTTGTTGGGACTGTATCACAAAACAGCCGTCGGATCGGCGCCGGCACGGTACATGGTACGTGTCCTGCAGCTTGAGGTCTTGGTGACGGCGCCTGCGTCCCGTTTGGCATCGCAATCCTCTGCAGCATTTGGGCGACACGTCGCTCCTCGACTGCTACTAGATACGTACGCTTGCGTTGGTGTCCCAGCAGCAACAGGTGCAGTCCCTGGGGCACGTCGGCTTCCTTGTTGGCTCGGTACGCTGTTGCTGGGTCGGCCGTACGCTGACGCGGCCGTTGGTACGTCCCCCCCCAGCGTTGCTCACCGGTTGAAACGAGGGCCGAGTCCAATTCCAGGCGAACCCCACCTCGCGGCGATCTCCCAAGTCCATCACCGAAGCTTCCATGGGCGTATTCATCGTCGTCCGCGCCGGTGTCGCTCCTTCGCTGGGCGCCGGTTGGCGTGCCCACTGCTCTAGGACCATGTTGGACGTCTGTCCACCAAGAGGCGTCCCTGGCACAGACTCAACCGTCCTCATCGTTCCCGGAGACGGCGTTACAACACCGAACATGCCCTCGCCTTCCACGTGGACCGTTTGTGCCTCGTACCTTCCAGCCTCGGGATCAACTCGCTGCGGCGTGCCACGTTCCTCGCCCTCGCCCTGGCGTTCCCTTTCCTGAGACCTCTGTGGTGGGTCGCCGCCTGCAGCTCTCTCAGCGCGCACTTCCTCTTCCTCCTCGAGGATCTCCACGTGCTCCGTTTCTAACGGTGGAGCTTTCCCCCTACCCCTTCACTGGCTCCAAGTGCTTCACCGGACCATCCATGAGCGCCCATCTTTTTCCCACACCTTTCTCCTTCTCCCTTGACGCTCCGCTATCAAGACTTCTCTCCGCGCTTGCTCCTACGATGTTCGACAAGAAGATACCCTGCTTCTCCACCAAATTCGCACAGTCTTCCTCTAATCGGGGTCGTGTATCTTGGGCCGACGTAGGAGGTAGTAGTAATAGCGACACTACTTAAAAGTTATATAGCCGTTGATGTTATCTTGTGTTCTTCGCTAGAAGGAAAACCACTACTGAACTCCTCACTCAACCTCGCTAAGAATGAAAAGCTTCTTCCCTTTCAGCAAATCCCTCGCATGTACGGTCCAGCTCCAAATCCCGCCACGACCAGTTGCTTGCCGATCTCTAACACTTGGAACGTCACTGACTTGGCCGTAGGTCCCACTTGCTTGGACGTGGCGCGGAGATTCTGGAGCGAATAGACTTTCTGCAGGCAGTCAGCCAGCATTGTAAGCCCACCATCTAACTGTACACTGTGACACTCAAGAAGGGCAGACGATATATGGCGTAAGTCGGTGGAAAGCTTTCCTTAAAACTCAAAATAAAACGACCGCTGTATTTCGAAATACGTACGTGCATAATTGTATGCTTAAAAATCCGCTGGCAGAATTTCTTACGGCTTGAACACACCAGGTTAGTGGGTAGGTCGAACAGTCAGTTTTAGTATCTAGGTACTTTTAGCAACGACGGTGTACGATATCTGGGGACGTGAATCCTGGTGCGTGTACTCCTTTTCCAACCCAAATTCACCAAGAACAACACCAAATTCATCAAATACTAAGTCAAATGCACTGAAATCAAACTCAAACGCACAAAGAACAAAGTCAAATTCATAAAGCAAGTACCGTAAATCTATCATGTACAATAACCTGAAATAGATGCAATGACTTGCTTTAGCTGATTTCCATGAGGCAACGTCCCACCGGCATGTTATCAAAGTCCGCCACCTTCACGTGAAACGTGAGCGTGTAGCGGTAGCACGACACGTTTAACGGCGCAGTGGCAACGAGAGGGAAAAGAGTGTGCGCAGCTTCTTGGAGGAACTGATGCCTGTGCGCCTTCATCGTCGTTCCCTGGGGCACGGCAATATTGTGTACCCTACGCCCGGTCATATAGTCCTTCACCTTCGACTTGAACGCCGAAAAGACGTTCTCAATTGGGTTGAGCATTGGCGAGTCCGGCCCAAAGCGCAGCAGCGTCGCCGCTTGAAACTCTGGCTCGTTAAAAACGGTCTCAGCGGGAGCATGGCATGGAGCGCTGTCGAGGACAACCCCAATGTTGCTCACGTCCTCGTACTTGCACAAAGTGCTACGAGTAAACTCGTTCGAATGCTCGTATTTGTGGCTTCCCAGTTTGGGTACGTAGTGTACAACCCCATTCTCCCCATGCACGCGATGCTTGCAAGTTTTGTCCGCCGCCAGCTAGCACCTTTTTCACAGCACGACGACCACGGATGCTACGGCCTCGCGTACGAGGCGACCACAGATTAAAGTTGGCCTCGTCCATGTATACGATGCCCTTTCCCATGGCTTGTAGCTCTTGTAGACGGATGAGGTACTCTCGGCGACTACGCTTGTTGACGTCCGTGCTCGTGTACTGCGGCTCCTTGTGGAATTGCTTCATGGTGATCATGCTTGCGTCCAGGTCAGGTGGTTTTTGATGGTCTGTGGGCATACAGAGATGAAGCAATGCGTGCTGAGTTTGTCGGCCAGCTGGGTGAGCGTCAAGTCTGCGTCAATTGAAAGCTCCGATAGAAGATAGGCCACGCCTTCGGTCATCATCTTCTGTTGCCTTTTTCCACCACGTGGACGAGGACAAAGTACGTCCGACGTCGTTGAATAGCGTCGCAGCCATGCCCGAGCAGTGTTAATAGTGACGTCATTCATTTCAGCGATATTTTCCCAGTCTCCCCCAGAGCGTGCAGCCTCGAGAATGCGGAGCTTGATTTGAAGAGTGTAACGGCTGTAGCGAGCTGGCATCCTGTGCAGACAGAAATTTCAAAGTGAAAAACTAGCCATTCGAGGACGGCTGCAGCACAAAATTTCGTCAAGCGAGCCCAAGGAAAGATCAAACTTGGGGTGCTATTGACGGAACTGTACGGTTAACCAGTGTGATTGGAGTAGCGAAGGACGCATCCGCTTTCTAAGCGCGATTTGCCGCGCCGCCAACCCTTTCGATGAATACACCATCAAAGAGAATTTTCTTTAATATACATTTTGGTAGCTACATTGCATTCGACTTTGTTCTTTGTGCGTTTGAGTTTGGTTTTAGAGCAGTTGACTTAGTACTTGATGATTTAGGTGTTGTCCTTGGTGAATTTGAGCTGGAAAATGTGTCGGGTTACGAGTAGTAGTACCGTAAAAAATCGGCCCCAGTGCATCATAATTTTTTGTCAAAGTCAAGTAAATTTTCTTAAATCCTTAACGAGGTTATAAAACCTCATTAAGGATTTTTAAATGAACCCTTTCAATGACATCCGTACTAAACAAGCGGTAGATCGTTCTTCGAGATCTGTCTCTGGAGGATGGGCCACCCTTATAAATGGGAACGACGAGATAATGCTCAAACCCGAAGAGTAGGTATCGATTCAATACGAATTTCAAACGTGCAGGTTTTTTTATACCAATTTGTATTAGTTAATATTTACAAATCCACAGGTTTCACTTCGAGGAAAAGGTTTCGCATGGAAAAAAAATTATACTAACTTGGTGTACTAAACAAAAGAGAATTCACATTGCTCGAGAACTTCCCGAGAAGAGGAATGACTGTTCGCATTCTTTGCATTGACCACACCGAACGTAAGTCTTGTGGTGTGTGCAGAGATATGATGGGACACTAGGCTAATATCACTAATCGAAACGTTGTTTCGCATTAAAAAAGAATTTTGTTGTGGCTGTATCACACGTCGCATACACGGACAAAAACCACAACATACCATCTGGAAGCATGTACGACGTTTTGGGTTTGCAGTGGCCGCTGATAAATAAATGCTGCTGCTTCCCTACTATATGAGCTCTACATGCAGAGAAAAGGGTGGGATGGTGGCCGTAGTTGAAGCGAAGAGAACCGATCATTTATACTTAGTGTGCTCAATAGTGACGTATTACTGCTGATTTGGCCCATTTCAGCAAAAAGTTTTGGTTTAGCTGATTACTCGATAATCTATTGTGTTCAGTATGCAAAATTCTGCCTGAGTTTAGGCCTCATTGCTTTATTAGCCAAACGCCCGAATTCGAGCGTTTGGGTAATACATTCGGCTGATTCGCGGGGAACGCTTATAAAAGTGCACTTTTAACGGATTAATGCTTCACTACCTTGACTCTGTTTAAGCTCCCAAGCTTCGCTCCGGGCTCCACCGCCTAAAGCACTTGAACGGCTCTCTTCCAACACGCCATAACTGGCGATCGCTCCCCCTGACCGCTATTTCACTGCTTCTTTACCGCCGCTGTTGACTCCATTTATTTAATCAAATCTGCCTATTATTACACAGCTGCCTCCACTGGGACATCTAGCCCAATGCCTCAACCACCTTTTACTAGCACCAGGTCGGACGAGCCCTCCTGCTTTAGGCTGCGAGAGCTGTAAAATATTTATTTTAACTACTAAATTACTAAATTGTGCGATAAAATACGTACTGTAGGCCCAGTACTAGTTACGCTTAGAATGAAGTTTCTAACTATCGTCGTTGCTCAAACAGCGAAGTTTTAATTGCTGAAATACCTAGTTTATCGGTAAATACTTATAGAACTAGCTTTCTGGCATAGCTAAGGATAACTGAACAAAGTTTGATACATTTCCATCTTTGTTTTTGTTTCTTCAATAAACATGCTCCGCTGTCACAGCCAGCGTGTAATTATATTACGGAGCAGCTCGAGTATGAAAACTCGGTCAAATGCGAAGAGAATGACACGACGCAAAGAGAGACGGTGGTTGCAGCGAAGGCTCCTGTGCATAGAGTCGCGGCTAGTTGAGGCACGAGTTGAGAAGAACGAGCAGTAGCAAATCAGAGCAATGTGCACGAGCAGTGTGAGTCACACTGTTTTGCTCGTTGCACTGTGACGTCCTGGTGGAGTGGCGACGTCGCAAGCGAAGGCATGCTGCAGAAAACGCTTGCCAGAGTGTCACCGTGAAAAGGCGGAGACGTGACACGCCAACGTGCACGAAGAGGATTGAGAGGGGAAATCCTGCTCTAGCAGCACGGAATATTCTATGGACTTTACTGACTAGAGTGATGGCGAAGGAGCGTGACAGATGAAGACTAGTATAAAGCAAGCTCTAGTGCAACAGCAGGATAAATATTTAATGTATTCTCAACTTTACTACCAACTCCGCAAGTCCCATTCAAGCAAGAGCTTCCGAACGCGATCGCTCTTCTGCGAGCCACGAGTGTGTCCTTTTGATGTATCAAATTTAAATTTAGATCCGAATTTAGAGGATCAAGAATGGACAACGATGAGTTCGTGTCGTACACCTTGGTGATAGCCGCGGCCACAGCCAACACCGTCGCAGAAACAGCGACAATAAAGATCAAGAAGTTCTGAGGTGGCAGCTCACGCGACTGGCGCAAGTGGAGCAGCCAATTTCGGAGTCTGGCTTGCAAGAAGCAGTGGACGGACGAGCAGAAGGCGCACAACCTCGTAGTGCTTATTGAAGAAGATCTCGAGGCTGAGGAAGAGGTGGCTCTCCGGGAAGCTGTTATTTCTGGAAAAAGCTTCGAGGAGTTCTTCACAGACATGGGTCTATTGTCGGTTCCACCCGACTTCAGTGAAGATCTGGACAATGAGCTATGGCCGATGACGAAGCGTCAAGACGAGACGGTGCTCAAGTTCTCACAACGCTTGAATGAGAATATTTGTATGTTTGCAGAGCTACCCCAAAATGCTGAGGAAGTGCTTGAGGTGCAGCAGTGCAGAACTTTAAGCACGGATGCCTCGCGGCTGGCAAGACAAGCTGGTATCCGCCTGTGTTGTTCATGACACTCTCGGCGAACTCGTGTTGTACTTCTCGCGTCTGGACCGAGCGAGAACAGTTAACGAGGAACAAGAGCAGGGGAAAAGCGGTGGCTCTTGAAGCAAGGACCAGCGTCGAGACAAGAACAAGAAGGATGGTCAATCGTCGCAGAAGGTCTTCCGCAAGGACTACAAGAAGGGGGGTAATGGCGAAGAAGTCAAAGCCAAGAGCGCCATGTGGTGTACATTCCATAAGACAGGCTCTCATAATACCAGTGATTGTTACACTCTCAAGAAAAAAAAAAACACAAGATAGCGGACACTAAGTCGAAAAAAACCAACAACAAGAAGCCCTATCCACGTATAGACAAGGACCTCGAGTCGGACTGGGGCAGTGATGAGAGCGAGATTAAGTTCGTGGATCTAGTGGAGGAAAATGCGAGACCGACGAGCGCGCCGCTGCGCATTCCTGTAAAGCTCCGCCATGGTGGGCAGACGTTCGAAGCGTTGCTGGAAGGTAGATATTCCAATAGTATTATTAACGGTGGGACACTTAGTGCTAATACGGAGCTAGGCCGTAAGTTATTCCAGCTTCACCAGCTGACGTTGATACCATGAATGGTTCGGTCACCAGTAGCAGTTCAACGATGGTGCAGCTTGTTTTCTCGAAGCTCAAGTCCGATTCGGTTATCACGCATAGATTTGAGGTTATTGAAGATAGCAAATACGCAATGGTGATTGGACGCAACCTTATAAGCGCTCTCGGCCTCATTTTGAATTTCAAGACAAGGTCGTACAGTGGGATGAGTGCATCCTCAGTCTCAATACAGGTCAGAGCGCGATGGATTAGGCCGTAGAGACCAAGAAATCGCTTATCTGTCAATGGAGGTTGCCGACGGGTCGGTCAAACCTGAGCAACTTCTTCCTGATGAGCTGAACGAGCAGCTTGTCCAACGCTACCTGGAGCCGCTCATCCAGTATCGTGAGTTAACTGATGGCCACCTTGGACGCATGCGTTTCGACGACTACGAAATACCTATTCCGCCTTATTACAAGCCGGTGCATGCGAAGCCGTACAATGTTACACGCAGGCATGAAGCCAAGGCAAGGAAGAAGATCCAGAAGCTGATCAATGCTGACGTGTTGGAGCAGATCTATGATAGTGAGGTCGTTGCGCCTGCGTTCTTCCTCTTTAATCTGGACGGATCATTAAGATTGCTGGTTGACTACCGGTGGCTGAACAAGTTCCTTCGACGATGCCCGTATTACGTGCCGCGCATACGAGAGGTACTAATGCGAGTCTCCAAAGCGAAATGTATTTCGACTTTAAAGGCTAATATTGGATATTATGAAAGTGGATTTGCAAGAAAAAGTCGCACATTTACGGCATTTTGCATGCCATGGGGCAAGTTTCAGTATAAGCGTCCATCGCCTGACCCGCAGGCTTGTTTCGGTCGGGAAAATTAAATTCTTGTGGTGAGTGTGTACCACAACCGGGAAACCAAGAAGCATGGTACGATACTTTTTCAGTAGTTCGACCACGGAAAGCAGCTCCAACGCCATGGTAGTGTAGTTCAGCTGATGATTGTTCAGGCTACTAGAATAACACGCGAGAATCTTAACGCCTTGTATTATCAGTCCACCGAGCTGTGTACTGCTAGCGTCAGCGTAGAC